TCTTCTTTCTGTCCCCCCCCCTCCCCCCAGAAAAAAATAGGAATTCTGAGGCCTAAACTCAGGAATTCCAGCAGGGCCTAGGTGAGCTTCTGCTCCATCCCTAGGAGGGGGTCTCGCAGAATTAGACAGAGTACCCAGAATACTAGTGCTTTCTTCCCTGAACAAAGCAGCTCTCTCCTCCCCTCCCCCCTCCTCTCCCCTTCTCTCCTCTCCTCCCCTCCCTTTTCCTCTCCAGTCCCCTTTCTTCTCTTTCTTCTCCTTTCCTTTCTTTCCTTCCCCTCTCTCCCCTTCTCTCTTCTCTCCTCCCCTCTCCTCCCCTCCCCTCCCCTCTCCTCCCTCTCCCCTCTTTACCTCCCCTCTACCTCACTCTCTGGGTTTCTTTTTTCCACTGATGAAGACTGAATCTAAGGTCTTGTACACTCTAGGCAAGGACTCTACCACTGAGCTTCACCCCAGTCCAACAAAGTGGAGCCCATCCAGACATTCACTCTGACCTGCTGGGACCCCTTCTCTTTATCTGTTTGCACGCCCCATAGGCCCCTTAGCGGAAAGTTCTCCAGTTACCCCACCTCCGTCTACTTACCCAATCATGGCTAGTCTGTTCCTCCCCTTGACCTCTGTCCGTTCTCTCTAATGAACTTTCCCTCACAGCATTCTGTGCCCACCTTCCCTCTCTTCTTGTGACTTTTAATGCCCACTCGGGCTTTATGTCAGCCCTGTCCAATCACTAGCCATAGTCTTAGGTGGCCATTCAGCCCCTGAAATGTGGTTGACCCAAACTGAGACAGGCTGAACTGTAAAACATTTACCACATCTTAATGACTTACTGTGAAAAATAGTGCAAAAAGAATAGATTTTTTTTAAATACCAATTACGTTTTGGGATAATAAGGTCAGATGATTATATTATTGAAACCAGTTCCACTGTCTTTCTGAAATTATTTATTCATTTATCTATTCATTTATTTTTTGTTTTCTTGAAGCAGTCACGTGTAACCCAGGCTGACCTTGAACACCAGTAGCCAAGAATGACCCTGAATTCCTGATCCTCCTGCCTCTGCATCCCACACGCTGGGATTAGGCATGTGCCACCATACTAAGCTGTCCTTTTTTTTAATTATTTATTTTTATTTCATATGCATTGATGTTTTGCCTTCATGTATGCCTGTGTCAGGGTGTTGGATCCTGGAGTTACAGACAGTTGTGAGCTGCCATGTGGGTGTTGGGAATTGAACCCAGGTCCTCTGGAAAAGAGTCAGTGCTCTTAACTACTGAGCCATCTTTCCAGGCCCCCTTCCTTTTTAAAAGACAATCAAAATTCCTTTTTAATCTTCAATTTGCTGAGAATGGAGCACAGGACCTTGGACAAGTACTCTGCCCTGAGGGACACCTCCCTCACCCTCCCGATTGTTTTCTATGTGGCTAGTAAACAGTGTGTAGAGTTATTTATGTGGCTCATATTTATTGTTCATATGTGGACAGAAATGTTTACTGTGCCGTCGTGGAGGTCAGAGGACAACTTTTGGGAACCAGTTCTCTTTTTCCACCGTGCGGGTCCTGAAAAGGGAACTCACCCACTTGGCCGTCTCACAGCCCTGTTTCTTACATTTTAGTGTCTGTTGTCTCACATGCTCGGATCTGATTACAAGGCTCAGTACACTCATGTGGGGTGCATGTTGTGACTATCTTTTCTTTACAAAGAAGTAAATCCAAGGGAGAGAGTGACCTGCCCAAGGTCATAGCTGGGCACTCACAGATTCCAGTTTCCAACCAAAATTGTCTGACCCAAAGTCTATCTTCTGTGGGACCTTGCTGCCCAGGTTACTGTCCAGGGTGTCTAGAGGCAGAGTGTACTTGATTAGACCGGCTACGAGTGATAATGAACCACTCTAATCAGAACTCAGACTGAATGCTTGTCTTTCATAAAGACGAAACGAGGAAACAGATTAACATAAGCAACACATTGCCATCTATTGACTCTCGGGATATGTGGGTGAAATTAAGGCTGAGGACCACTGATCTGATCCAGCTTCTCATTTTACAAGTGTGGAAACTGAGGCTCAGGGAGGAGGGTGGATTTGCCAAGGGCTCCTCTGTTCTGGCAATCTTGGAGCTGCGTTCGCAGGAATCCGGGGGTGAGATTCCTTGAGGACTTCGGTCTTGACTAGGAAGGCTTCTTTCCACCTGGAAGCCCTTGTCTTGAGCCAGTCTCTTGCTGCCCCAAGATTGTCCAAAAGACTAGAGCAAGGAGGGAGACAACCCACTTCCCACCAGAGTCCCAGGACCACTTTCCGGTCCTGAGCCAGGAATTCCTTTCAGAGACTTAAACCGAGGCGAAAATAATTGTGACCCTTTGGAGGTCTCCAAGGGCTCCATTTCTCTCCTGACTTAGCTGACTCAGTCTCCCTAAGTGTCTTTCCCGAGGCGGGCCTAGATCTCCCTGCTCTGCCCCCATCTGCTCTCACACGCGGTGGGGAGGTGTTGAAACCACCTACGTCCCCGGTGCCCTCTTCCCAGCCCTGTCCCGAAACGGGGGCAGAGGCAACGCTGAACCCATCCAACCCCCGATCCCAGGAAGCCACAGGCAGAGGCTGAGAAGGCGCCCCTGAAAGAGAGGCGCCGAAACAAAGGCCCAGAAAGAATGCCCTGGACAAAGAGGGCGACTCGGAAAAAGGCCTCGGGAGGGAGAGGAAGGGGCCAGAAATGAGGGGAAGAGATGGGGGCACCAGAACAGAGAGAGCGAAGACGGGGAAGAGGGAGAAGTTAGAGTTTGAGAAAAGGGGCGGAGGACGGAGGCAGCGCTGGCAGGAGACTCGGGCGCGCGGGGCCGGGCGGGCGCGGGGCCCGGGTCCCCGGGGGCGGACCCTGCTGGCGGCGCCTGGCCCCGCTGCGGCCGTCGGAGCAGCCGCATTCCTCCGGGTTTCCCACACATTCGCCATCAAAGCGTCCCCAAAGCCCCAGCTTTTCCCGCGCCCCTCCCCCGCCACTGGCTGGAGAAGCTATTTTTCACCCCCTCCTGGTCTTTAATCTGTTGTGGGAAAAGAAAGCGGCTTTTGTTGAACGAGGGGCTGCGCGGGGGGGCGGGGAGGAGGCGCGGGCGATTGTGTGTCCCGCAGCTGCGCGCCAACGCTGGGGTGGGGGCTGCCGGGGTGCTGGCCGAGCTGAGGCTGCCCGGGAAGGTGGGCCAGGGCGGTAGGGACAGCCTGATCGCCGGGTGCAGGCCAAGCTGGGGCTTCCCATGAAGGTGGGTTGGAGCTATAGGGTGTAAGATCAGGCGGGGTGCGGGGTGCAGGCAGGGAGGATGGCAGTGGAGAGGAAATGGAGAAAAAGGCCACCAGAGTCCTCTCCCCATGGTTCTCTTGGCCAGGAGATTTCAGGAAGAAGGACTCATCCTGGGCTGAGCACATAGAAGTTTGCCCAGGCTGGGGCTGCAGCCCTGCGAAGGACTGAGCGAGATGAATGTTTGCGTTTTATGGGCTGGGGATAGAGCCCAGGGTCTCTCGTATGCTAGACAAGCACTCTACCAATGAGCTACATCCTCAGCCAGACAGCTTGCATTTAAATCCGGCTGTATGCAATCCTCACCTGGGGCCCAGACACACAGCACACGCTCATATTCAAAGACACACACACGCTGCCTGACCCCAGAAGTTCTGTGGGCTTCAAAGGTGTTTCCTTTGATTTCCACGCCCAAAGCCTAAGTTTGCAACCCTCGCTTTTCTGGCTCCCAGCAGCTAGCTGTGTGACCTTGGGTAGATGACCTCACCTCTTCCAGCCTCAGTCAATGTGAGGATTTAGGGTGATGATACATGTAAAATGCCTGCTCAGTTAGGTTTGGTGGGACACAGCCTATAATCAGGAAGGCTGGGTAGGGCAGGAGGATGGAGAATTTGAGGACAGCCTGGGCTACATAGCAAGACACTGTCCCATAAAACCTAAAGAAACAAATGAAATGTCAAACTTGTGGCGGACACTCAGCACACGCTATCGCTGCCACACAGTGGGCTTGGTGACTCACGACTCCATACTCGGAGCAGTGTGGCCTGCAGGAGGCTCCCTAAGAGCTGCAGTCCAGCTCTTCTGCCTTCTGGCATCCCAGCCTTTCCAGCTCTCTGCAGGGCTGTGGCCCAGTTAGGGGTGGGAGATCCCTTTCCTCTCTGGCAGGGTCAACCCTGTGGCCAGGCCCATCCCTCCCTCCCCTCCCCTCCCCTTCCCCTGGCAGCTTTTGAACTGCTGCTGGGCCCCAGGCCAAAGCAGGACAATGTCTGGGCAGGGTGGACACTGTTCTTCAAGGTCTTTTTTGTCTTCATCTTTCCTTGCATGGACTCTGGACCTCACCATCCTTCCGGGCCCTTTCCTGAAGCCCAAAACTCAACTATCTGCTGGAGAGAGAGAGAGAGAATCACACCCCGGGAGTCACAGGACCAAAAGACAACCTGAATTTGAACTTTCACATTCTCATTTTGTCTGCAGTGCTGGACATCAAACCCCAGGGCCGCTTCACCTCTGCACCACATTCCCACCTCCCAGGCTCAGCGTTTCTAATTTAAATCCTGCGGACCAGAGCCTGGTGGTATATACTTATGCTCTCGGCACTCAGGAGGCAGAGGCAGGAGGATCTTCACAAGTTATAGGTTAGGCTGGTCTACCTATGAGTTCCAGGCCAGCCAGGGGTACAAAGACCTGACTCAAAAGAAAACACCAAAGCCGGGCAGTGGTGGTGCACACTTTTTATCTCAGCACTCCAGAGGCAGAGCCAGGAAGATCTTTGTGAGTTCGAAGCCAGCCTGGTCTACAGAGTGAGTTCTAGGACAGCCAGAACTGTTTCACAGAGAAACTCTGTCTCAAAAAAACCAATAAATAAATAAATAAATAAATAAATAAATAAAAATGAAAACAAATATAAATCTTATCTTGAAGCGTTGATATCTCAAAAGTGTTAATGATTACTGGGGTAGAACTGAACTTAGTTGTCGCTATTTATTTTTTTAATGTGTGCGTCTGCTCACTTAAGCAGCACATATACTAAAGTTGGAATAATACAGAGAAGATTAGCATGGCCTCTGAGCAAGACCCGAAGATTAGTGAAGTATGCTGTATTAAAAATTCTTGCTGCAGCTGGGCGGTGGTGGTGGTGCATGCCTTTAATCCCAGCACTTGGGAGGCAGAGGCAGTCAGATCTCTGAGTTCAAGGCCAGCCTGGTCTGCACAGTGAGTTCCAGGACAGCCAGGGCTATACAAAGAAACATTGTCTCAAAAAAAAAAAAATTTTAGGGGGGGGGGTCTGGTGGTGGTAGCACATGTATGCCTTTAATCCCAGCACTTGGGAGGCAGAGGCAGGCAGATGTCTGAGTTCAAGGCCAGCCTGTTCTACAGATAAGAGTTCTAGGAGAGCCAGGGCTACAGAGAGAAACCTTGTCTCAAAAAACAAACAAAAATTCTTTTTTTATTATTAAAGTGTAGGGGTATATGTGATGTGTTTAAGGTTCTGCAAGCCACAGCCCCAGTGTGGAGGTCAGAGGACAACTTCGAGGAACTGATTCTCTCAGTCCACCTTTGCACGGACTCTAGATTGAACTCAGTTCTTCCTCAGGTTTGCTCAGCAAGTGCCTCTATCCATTGAGGCATTGCACTACACTCACTTGTGAAGATCCTCCTGCCTCTGCTTCCTGAGTGCTGAAATTATAAGTATATACCACCAGGCTCTGGCCTGCAAGATTTAAAGTTATCTGTACCAGTACTTACAAGGGACACAGATGAATTCAAGGTCTTCTTGGGCGACATAGTTAGACCCTGTCTCCAAAAAACCCTACAGCTTCCCCTCAGTGAAGTGTCTCAGTAGAGTATCTCACACAGGATAGGCGCTCAGAAAATACCTCCCCTTTGGCTTACTCCGTGCCTGGGGGTAGAGCCAGCCTTGGGACATCCCGTGGTCAATGATCGTTTGGTGAAATAAGGGGTCAGTTAGCTTTAGGATGGTGTGGCTGGACTAAGTGTGGCTGAAAGATGGAGAAGAAGGCAGTGAGCTCCAAAGTTGACCCCTAAACTTAGCAGTCGTCGCTGTGTGACTTCAGAGGAAGTGTCTGTCACACTGCAAGGAGAGCTGGAACGGTGACAGTGTGCTTACCATTGCAGGACTCTGAAGCTCTATCCCTGGCATTGAAACAAATGCACCTTACTATTTGTCACCCTACCCAATGGGTCCAATTTACTTTTCTCTATCTGGTGGAACACAACCTTCTCAGGGGCTGGTGACATGGCTCATATAGTAAAGCCACTTGTCACAAAGTCTGAGGACCTGAGCTTGATCCGCTGGAGTCACACAGTGGAGGGAGAGAAGCAACCTTTATAAACTGTCCTCCGGCCACCACACATTCACCATGACGTGCACACACACAAATATATGAATAAATGTAATAACTATAATTCCCGAGAGGTCCTTTGGAAGGGTAGAAGCTTTGGAGACAGGATGAAAATCTTGGGTTTACCACGGAATGGCTATGTGACCTAGTAGAAAGCACATTCACCTCGCTGAGCCTCTTTCTACGTACGCATCCACAAAATGGGTCAGTGAAGCCAGGCATGGGGGAGCATGTTCGTCCCAGTCCTCGGAAGGCTGAGGTGAGAGAATCTTAAGCTTGAGGACAGACAGCTCAGGCTACATGGTGAGACTCTCTCAGAACAAAAAGTCAATGAGAAAATGCAGGGCCAGGGCTGGGGCTGCGAGTAGACCGCCCACCTAGCACTAACAAGGCCCCAGGTTCCATCCCCAGCTCTGTAAAAACCAAACCAAACCAAACCAAACCAAACCAACAAAGGGTAGGTAAGCCATTCTTGGCAAACAGGACTCAACAAAACCATGATGAAGTGGTGGTGACAGCTGAGTGCTCCTGAAGTGTAGGAGAGTCCATCTCAAAATCCCCTAAAATCTCTGCCTTTTTAAGGACTTAGGTCCCCATGTTCCTATACTGCCTTTCTTAGTATTGCCCACATTTCTGGGAACTGCCTCTAGGGGAAGCACTAACTTAGAGGGACACCTTGGATCCCCAGCCACACATCATATCACATAAAAGTAACTACTTCCCATCCTCTGGCCCCTCTGGCCCTCCCAGCTGTCAGGTGGGTAAATATTATTTCCCCCCCAATTTTATAGAGGTGGTAAGGGAGGAGCGAAGGTGGACAGCCTAGGCAGTACTAGAATATGCCTTCCTTGTAGCCTCTGGAGCTGGGGTTGTACTTTGGGGTTCAGATTTGCTGAGGGGAGCAGAGATAAGCTCTCAGTGTATGGCTGGAAAGCACTCAGCACATCTTTATGGCTACTTTCTGAACAAATAGGTAGACTCCAGAAAATGCATGGGCTGGCAAGATGGTTCTGTGGATAAAGGTGCTTGTCCTGCAAGCCTGAATGACAGTCAGAGTTTGGTCCCTGAACCCACAGTAGAAGGAAAGAACTGGATTCCCAAAGTTGTACTCTGACTTCCTCAAATATGTTGTGGCATGCAGACATCGTGGCACATGACCGTACTTACATATACATATATCACTTGCACAAAAAAATTTTAAATACAACTTCTGGGAACCTTAAACTGACATAGAGTACTTAACGTTTATGAGAACCAGGGCCAGAGCGGTCAGGGAGTCAGGGAGCAGAAGGATTGGATCTTGGCCACAGGTCAGTCACAGACATTCGCCATAACCTTGGACAAGGTTCTAAGGTCCCTGGATCCCCGAGTCTACACACGGAGAAAAGATAGCTAGCTAGCTTGACAGAAGCCCAGTTTAAGCAAGACATCTGCAATCCTCATCATCATGACATTGACTTTGAAATTCACAGCCCAGAGACCCCACTGCCGCCACGTCTTAAATTTCTAAAGACGAAACAGTAATAGCTTACAGTTCTGCCAGCTCCTCAACAAAAAAAATCAGAGAGCACAACATTGATTTTTTTTTTTTTTCTTTTTATAATTTTGGCAGAGGAAGATGCAGTTCCTGGAAATGCTTACAAAATGATTCCTGACACTAGGAGGAGAGAGTTAAGAGGGGGAAAGGAAGAAGAAAATTTATCTACATACAGATAGAAAGGAGGAAGGTGGAAAGAAAGGGGGTAAACAAAAGAACTAAGAGAGAAAGGGGGACTTTAAAGGGCCCCAATTCAGGGGACGTTATCAAGGTCTCAGAATCTGCGATTTACAAGCCGCTCGCCGGCTAGGGTGGCGCAGGCCCCGCCCCTATCTCGGGTGTCGGGCGTTGATTGGTGGGAGAGGCAGTCGCCGGCCGGTGACTGCCCGAGGAAAGGTTGCCTGGGACACGCATCCCTGTGTGAACGCATGACGTCCCACCCTGGCGCCAGGCTGTCTGGGGCTGAGTCTTAGATCAACACAGCTGTGGGACCCGGACCCACAGCTGGGCAAAGGAGCGGATTCCTCAACAAAAAATAGGATTGTGGGAAAAGTTCTGAAACAAAAACAGCGCAGACAAAAGCCTTAATGACATCCTTTCATAAAAATAAAAAATGCAAGAGGGGGGGAAAAAGCTGGTAAAAGGAGCAGAACTGGGAACAGAAAGTTCAGAGGCGTTTGGAGTAAGAGGCTGAGGCCCCGCCACCGCTAAACAAGTTGCAGAAGGCCGGGGCGAGCCGGCCAGTCTGCTGTGCAGGGCAGAGAGGAGTCTTTGGGGTTTAAACTCTATTCAGTGTTCGCAACCCAATCGAAAACCACTCCTTTCAGACTTAGATTCTTAAGTCAGAAAAGATCCTTAAAGGTCAAGCCCCCTTCTCTTCCCCTCCCCCAAAGTAAGGTCCGGGGAGAAAGGATTTGTGTCCAAAGGTGAATTCTTGGCATGAAAAGGACAGAATACGGCTAGATAACCCCACTGCACCCTTCTGCCCTATCCCACACAGCCTATGGCCATTTCAGCCTCGGAGCATCAGGAGGAAATAATAAATGCTTTGAAGGTACTTTGCAAGCCGTAAACCCAGCAAACCCGCTATCCAAGCCTGAGGCAACAGAGGTAGAAGAGGAGAGAGCAGACACTGGATGGGCTGAGCTGAAGCCCACATGCTTGGCCTCATGAAGAACTAATGCTGTTGGAGAGAGCATGCCGGATGCGTCTTAGATAAACGGCGTTTCACGGTCTTTTCTTTTTTGAGACAAGGTCTCACTGTTTAGTTCCTGGTTGTCCTAAAACGCTATGTAGACCAGGCTGGCCTTGAACTCACAGAGACCTGCCTGCTTCTGCCTCCTGAGTGCTGAGATTAAAGGCCTTTTTTTTTTTTTTTTAAATAAACGAGGTCAGAGCTGAGTGTAATGACACACCCCTTTAATGCCAGCACTAGGGACGCAAAGAATCTCTGCATTTGAGAGCAGCCTGAGTGAGTTCCAGGACAACCAAGGCTACACAGAGAACTGTCTCAGAAAAAGGGGGGAAGGTAAACAAATAAACACACACAGAAACAAACAAGGTCAGTTTCATGAGCTCCACTTAACAGGCAGGAAAACTGAGGCACAGAGAATAATTTGGTCTAAGTTCACACTGTAAAAGCGTTTGAACATAGGTCTGCCAGGTACTGAAGGCCATGATTTTTCCAGAAGCTCTTGGCTTGACTATTTTGAACAAACATACAGAAGTCTTCAAGACAGCTAAAGAAAGGGTCCTCTGTTTAGTTAGTTATTCAGGAGTCTTCACAGCGACGGAGATTTCCCTTCCCGTGACCAAATGGCTGCCAGTCGACTTCTTCGGCATATAGAGACTGATTTGTGTTTTTACAGGTTAGATTCCCTCTTTCTGAGCCTGAAAGAGCTGTCCTTGAGAACCTTAATATTCTCAGGAGAAAACTTTCAGAGGCTTTTATTGGGACCCAGGGCCGGGTAGCGTGATGGAAAAGGCTTTACCTGTGATGTGATACTGGACATGTTTTCTATGTCCTCTCTCAGCCTTTTGGACATCCCACACGCCCTGTCCAACTGTCACCCAAGCATAGAGTTCTCAAGTCAGAAAGTATTTATAACAATCCTGAAGTGCCATCTCTCTCTCTCTCTCTCTCTCTCTCTCTCTCTCTCTCTCTCTCTCTCTCTCCCTCTCACAAGACAATCAAAGCCAGGGTAT